GGTGGGTGTGTGTGTGTGTCTACAGAAGGTCCAGTTGTGATAGACACGGTTCGCCACTGCATTTGAGTATAAAGCTACAATAACTTATCAAATGATGCCCAGGTTTTCGTATATGATATCATCATTTTCTGTGCTCATACTGTCTGTAAGAGAGGAAGAGGACACAGAGCAGGAAGGGGTGGTGTTACAGGATGAAGAAAGACTAAATGGTGTTTTTGTTTTGCAGACTTGAGCATAAAGGTGGGCATATGGGTCAGGTTGGCTTTCATTTTTATGAGACACTGCCTCCTTCTTACTTATTGGCTCAGCATAAATGGGTTCATCATCTGCAAAAGGTATACGTGTTCCTTTGCGCTGAGTGACAGTATCCTGGACCAGACTGATTTTGTCGTACACCTCTGAGTAAACAGACTCTGGTTGATGGGTGGTAAAGCATGGCTTTTGAGCAGAGGAGTTAATGGGGGTGACAGATTCTCTTAAACCTGGGGGTTTGAGGGGTAACACACATGCAGGGTCTACATACAGAGCCGTTGCCGATGGCATTTTTGGTACAGATTGCATGCAGTCAGCAGGGTCAGCATATACAGCTTCTGATTGGCCACCAAGTGGAGCTCCGCAGTGACTGTTAGGTGTGGGTACCAGTGGAAGGGGCATCAGTGTGATAGGAGCTGGCTGCACTGACAAGCTCTCTGATGAACAAACCAAATCTCCCTGGGCATGTGCGCTCCCTTCTGAAGCAGTAGATTTACTTTCCTGTGCCCTCACTTTGTTCTCCACAATGGCAGCCATAAAGGTCCCATCTGGTATTTTGGGGAGAGGGGAATGAGCCCCTATGCGGGTCACGATAACTTTCTCCCCCTCTTGGTTTCGGTTGCTGAGAGGCACCGTTGAAGTCTTCGATTTGATGGTACTCTGAATCAGGGAGAATATTTTCTCAGCCTGCTGTGTCTCAAAGCGGAATGTTCCTGGACCGGAGTTACAGCGTCTACCTGCTTCAATGGTTAAGGCCAGCTGGTAAGAAAACACATGTCAAAACGCATGTTTTTAGCATTTTCATGTGAAAGCAAAGCAAACAAATAAAACACACCTCTTCTTATTCTAAGTGTAATTTTATAATTTAATCGACACCCTGTGAGTTGTTAAAGGTAACGTAAGGATTGTTTATGATCCTGAGACCCTTGCCTTATCTTTTCCATATCGTCTCAGCAGTTCGTAGGGCCATTCTCTAACAGTGTTCTTCTTCTCTGTTTCCCTCAGTAGGAGTGCCTCTCGCCCCACCTGCAGCCAATACGCTCCCTTCAGGCCGCAGCGCCACGCCGCGTCAGTCCTCTGAACCGTCACCCAGAACTCTGAGGATGGAAACAAAAAGATGAAATATTCTTTGTCATTGCTCTTCAACAAATCAAATATTATTTATTACAGTAAATATATAGCAACATTGGGTAACTGGCAACTGGCATGAATGCAGGTATTGTGAAAACAAGTAACCAAAGTTAACGGTATTAAAGTATAAGATAGTGATGGGAATTCCGGCTCTTCTTGGTGAGCCGGATCATTTGGCTCGGCTCACCAAGAAGAGCCGGCTCTTTCGGCTCCCAAACGGCTCTTCAGTTTACCACATTATACCTTTTATAATTAAATCAAATGTAGCCCTGTTTTGATGTATAGGCCTATGTGTACATATATATCACTTACATTAATCATGTGTATAGGCCTATGTGTACATATATATCACTTAAATTAATCAATACATCCTTTGAACTGAAGTATTCAAAAGTAAAAATTACATGTTTAATATAAATGATTTGCTGTGGCCAAATGTTTTCATTGCATTTACAGACCCTTGTAACTCTCTGATACCACCCAAAGAATGCACTGACTTGCTTGTAGAACCACGCTACACAAAACAGATAGCAACACCTATAAAAACTATTTTAAAAAAGGGGCTACTGTATAGACATTTTAAAATTATATTTAAAGAAAAGGCCGATTCTGTGAGCTGCAGCTGACCACGCCCCCCTGCAGGAGACGGGAGCGTGCTCTGAGATCAGCTGCTGGGGTCTCAGAAGAGGAGGAGAAAAAGAGATCTCCCTCCTCTGTGTTTTATACTTATAGAAGTAAGAAGAGAAGCAACGGGGCAGAAACCCTCCTTTTTACGCAGTGGTCCAGACATAGACATCAAACGGCAACACATATTCAGTTGATATTTACTTTGGCATTAGGGTAGGGATATCTAGATACTTTCCAAGGTTTGACATAATGAATTGTGCTACTTTTAAAGCAAGCAACGATGTTTTCAAATCTGTAATCAAAAAGCTCCTCAAAAGCACTATCGAAGCAGTTCCTGCCGTTGCTACGTTAGTTCAAACAGTAACAACGGACTATTTTTCTTTAGCGGATGCATGTCAATTTAAATAAATACATACAACTATTTTTTAAATCAATAAAATAATTTTCTAAATCCATAAAAGCATTTCAATTAATATTGGGAGTCATGTCGTTACTTTGTGGAGAATGTGGCCATGTAATAAGCAGGATAATGTGCACATTTCAGATTGCTTAATGTGCCTTCATGCCGATCTCGATCCCTCCGCAAAAAAAAAAAAGAACCGGCTCCCGTCGTTCACTTAAAAGAGCCGGCTCTTTGAGCCGGCTCGGTCGCGACCGACACATCACTAGTATAAGATTCTTGCCAAACTCATTAGAGGTAAGATGATGTACCTTGGAGGTGGGTATCAACGGTTTTGGTTGATTTAAAACCAAAAAGTCTTGGCTTTTAAAATATGACACCTTTAATGCGATATTCAGACGATGAAAACATTTCTCACCTACAGTGACCCCGAGCTGGGTCAGTGCTACATCCTGATTGATCAAGAAGTTCGAAAGCTAAGAGCCACGCCTTAAAGAGGTCCAGGATGTTGTCAGGAAATCAAGATCTGGCTCAGCGCCAGGCACAATTCCAGTCCTGTACAAGGTCAACAAGAACTGTCCGTTGTTACCAAGACAGCTGTGGAAGATCCTGAAAGTCATCTGGAACACCAATGAAGGCCCTTATGGATGACCTGACTTTCACCCATCGACTCAAGCTGGAAGATTCTGCAAGGAATTGATTGCCTGATGGGCAAGCATGAGGTTCAATCCTGGAAAATCGACGTGGCTGGTGCTGAAGAAAGATAAAGTCATGGATCGGTTCTGTTTTTGTCACGACTGGAGGGCAGAGTACATAGGACCCAAATGCAGAAGACCATTCTTTGAATTCAAAGTCCTTTATTGGCGGAACTGGGCCAGGCTCAGTATCAACTACCTGGACTCCAGCATGTGCAGAACTCTGCTGCTAGGGTCCTCCCTCATACCAAGCCCTGCAGCACCCCCACCCTCTGTCACCTCCACTGGCTCCTAGTCAAGTCCTGCATTCTCTACAAACTCCTCCCCCCTCCCGACAGCTGCGGTCCTCTGATACAGGTCAGCTCTCCATCCCCCGCAACTAACAAAAAAACCTCTGGCAACAGGGCTTTCAGCGTCGTGGCCCCCACCCTCTGGAACGCCCTCCCCCTTGAAATCAGGACCGCTGACTCAAAAAAGGACTCAAAACACATCTGTTTGTCAAGGCTTTCAGCCTCAATGAACTCCCCTCTCTACATTTTTGTGACCATCCTTTGTTTACTTCTGTTATTTAAATCTTGTTTTCTCCCCCCTGTGTTGTGACTGTTTTCCTTTAGTCACTCACTGAGTCTGAAAACCATGACGAGTCTGAAACCGTTTGCTGTTTCGCGCTGTGTGGATGAATCCACTCATTCAGTTCGCTCTCCGAATCTGAGTCTGCTGTTGACTCGTGAAGGATTATTTGAATTATTTGAAGTATTAAAGTAACGTGTTATGGCAGGAAAGTTAAATCTGGTATATTCATCTTAATGTCACCTTATATATATTCATGTGTGTTAAATTTGAAGGGACAAAGTATATTTTCCCTCCCCAATATATTGAGGTGAAGTCTTTGTGTTTAGAGAAGGATGGGAGCAGGGGACATCCTAATTTGGGGATAGCTCCAAGACTCTGGAATGTTTCCCTCATAAAAGAAGAGGGTGCGTTACACATGCTTGGGGCAAATATGTGTGTTTTCATTGCAGTAAATATATGTGCTGCATGATTACTGTTCAACTATACCTCTGTTTTTATTCTTTCAATGTGTGGGTACTAAATGGCTACAAACATTGTGGAGAAATTAGCTTAAACATGTTTTATTACTCTATATGAAATGGAAGCAGCTTTTATGACAGGGACGAGAGAGCTGGGGGAGGGGACATTCTTCTTAAGATTTTCAGCATGTCAATTATCAGGGAAATCTACTTGTTTTAAATAGATGTGTGTGGTTAATTACTTTGTATTAATAATAACAGTATTTGTAAAGGAAGCTGGAAATATACAATGTGAAACCTTTTATTTGAAGTAAAGATGTGAACAATAGCTCAAACAAATGGAAGGGCTGCAGGACAAATGAGTGTGTTCTCTATATTGGGCCTGTGTGAAGTTTGACTATTTGAAAAGCATCTCTAATACTGCTTAAGAGCATAGGTAATGTGTTCCTCATTATTATTGATATGAAAGTAATTTACATGTATTACGTATATTTAGCCAACTATAACAACTATATCTTAAAACATACTTTTAACTTGTGTGTGGTAACCTGAGGGGGGGAAGATGGACACAGGGACAAAGAGCCATAAAGGGGATGTGTGTGTGCTGGCTGCAAGATGTGAAATAAGATAAGGAAACTTGTTGGTTAGAGCAGGTTCGTACCAGACACCAAAAGGTGTCTGGTTTTCGTCAAACTGAAAGAGACTTTTTGTTTCCGGGTTTCTTCTGCTGTGTTGCACTGATTGGGTGCGACAGGCCATGTGTTGGTCTCTCCCAATAAGATGACCTCTGGGGGAAAGCACGCACACACCTCCTCCTGTGTTTTAGTATGAAAGCCTGTGTTTTCCTTGGGTTCGATCTCTTTTTCTTCAGGCTGAGCAGAGAGTAATACAGGAGAAAGAGCAGGAAGTACTTCCTTTGTATTTGCATTGTTACTTTGTATCATTAAAACAAGATTATTGTTTAACTTGCATTCTGGTGTTTCTTAATCGCTTCCTTTTTACGAATTTACCCAGCTTACCAAACGACACACGGAGACGAGGTTGGTTTTAAACATCCTCCTAATCTCCAACAACACACACACACAGAGAGAGAGAGCCGAGCTTGAATGACACAAGCACACGTGTATTTCCATGCAACTCTCTGATTGGTCTGGTGACTTATGGAATGCCATTTAAGCCAAAATTAAATAAATAATTAAATAAATACATATATATATAAATATGCCTATGAAATAAATAAATGAGGCAATAAATATGTATACATGTACATTTAAATACACATTTATTTATTTCATGGGACTTTTATTTCATAATGAGACATTTATTTCAAGAGACTTTTATTTCATAATGACACATTTATTTATTTCAAGAGACTTGTATTTCATAATGACATGTTTATTTATTTCAAGAGAATCGTATTTCATAATGACATATTTATTTATTTCAGATGACTTGTATTTCATAATGACGCATTTATTTATTTCAGGTGACTTGTATTTCATGATGAGACATTTCATGATGAGACATTTCCATTCCTTATATGCAAATGAACGGGGCGTG